ATTACGGAGAGGTCCTAGACAGCAACTATGTCTCCAATGCAATATGTGTCCTGACTTCTTAACTGCTGGTACCAAAATGTTGAATGTTGATCCAAGTAAGAAGAAATCATTTACAATTTCAAACCTTTCTCCATTTATCATGTTGACTACTGGCACAATGGTGAGGACTTTCGTCTTCTTGATGTTGAGATTTAATCTATATTAAAGGTTGTAGTCCTTGACCTTTTGCAGCAAGCATTTCAAGTCCTAATTTTTAGGGGGGAAAAAGTGTGTCATGTGCATAACACAGAAATAGATCATGAGGCTTCGTCTCTCATACTTTGGACATGATGCTAGAAGAGGTTATTCCTCCGAAAGGGTTGGAAGGTTGGAAAGCCAGTGAAAGAGAGGAGGACCCTCAATGAGATGAGTTGACACAGTGACTGCAGCAATGGGTTCAAGTGTGTCAGAGATGATGAGAATGGTACAAGACAGGGTTCAGGTCTGTTTTCATGGGATCGCTATGAACCCTATTTGACTCAAAGGCACCTACCAACAATAACGACAATTTTACTTACAAGGAGCCCTGGTAGTTTGTCTTAGTTACTTAATGCTAAAATAAGAGAAGTACCACAAGTAGATGGTTTTATCAAGTAGAGATTTATTTTCTTGTAATAAGAGGTTGTTGTTGTTGATTGCCTTCAAGAGGTTAGAAGTCCAAATTCAGAATGCCAGCTCTAGTGGAAGGTCCACTCTCTGACATGGTGGAGCAAAATCCTTGTTTCTTTCAGTATCTGTGAGAGAAGGAGGCAGAAGAAATATACTGATGTGAAGTCATATGAACGGCTACTGAAAAGGATGTAAATGATGGGAGAATGGAAGCCATATATAAAATGATAGAGAGCCAGAAGAGATATACTGATACTTAAGAACATGAACAGCTTGGAAAAAATTGCAAAAGATGGAAGAAAGAAATTAAACTAAAGAGATTAAAAAAAAAGTTAAAAAGATAATCACAAGACAGAAGAGGTACAGCCAACATAGTACTGGAAATAACATGGAAATGCAATTCGGAATATCAAGACCAAAATGGCTGAAGTTTTCAATATGCTGGAAGGATAAAAAGCAGAACAAAAGAGATGAAACAGAGAGTCAATGACTCAGAGATAAGAACCTCAATGGGAACATACTAGAAGAAAAATCAGAGAAGAGAAGAAGGAAAAGGAAAAACCAAACAACCCAAAACATCAGAATCATGTGGGATAACATCAAAAGGAACAACATAAATATGATTAGACTTCTAGAACACTAGACTGACAGAGAAAGCACTGAGAAAATTGTGTAAGAACTACTAGAAAAAAACTTTCCAGGTATTATGAAGAATGAGGATCCATATTCAAGAAACTCAGCAAACACCAAAAAGACTAGACCTCAAGAGAAAAACCTCAAGACACATCATAGTCAAATTCTCCAAAATAAAAGATAAGGATAGACTACTAAAAGCAGCATAAGAAAAACAGAGTCACCTATAAAGGAAAAACAATTAGATTAAATTCTTATTTCTCAGCAGAATGCATGCAAGTAAGAAGACAATGGGATGACATATACAAAAGACTGAAAGAAAACAACTGATAGCTGAGGATCCTGTGCCCAGCAAAGCTATCCATTAAATATCATGTAGAAATTAGGTCATCTGTAGAAAACCAGGAACTTAGGTAATTTGTGAAAACAAGACCAACTGTACAAGAAGTTCTAAGGCCTTCACATAGAGACCCCAAAGGAAAGAAGATGGACAATAGTAACCAGAAACAACAGAAAAAGAAACACAGCAAAATGGAAATTATAAAACCTGGCCTGTACCAATGTCAGATGGATCTTGGCAGAAAGCAGAGAGTACTAGAAGAATTACAACAAATTGTGGTTAACGTTGAGGAACATGGGAATCCCAGAACACTTGGTTGTGCTTAAGCAAAACCTGTACGTGCACAGAGGAAGCATTCCTCAGAACAGAGCAAAGAAACATTGTATTGTTCAAAATCAAGAGAGGTGTGTGTCAGGGATGCATCCTATCCCCATACCATTTCAATCTCTATGCAGAACAGATGATTGGGGAAGCAGGGCTTTATGAGGAGGAATGTGACATAAAGATTGAACATTCACAAAAAACTTATGATATGCAAATGACACAATCTTGCTTGCTAAAACTGAAGAAAACCTGAACCACTTGCTGCAGAAGGTCAAGGACTGTAGTCTTCAATATGGATTGAATCTCAACATCAAGAAAACAAAGATTCTCACCACTGGGCCAACTGGCAGCACCATGATAAATGGAGAAGAGATTGAGGCTGTTAGCAATTACAGTTTGTTTGGCTCCACAATCAACACTCTTAACAACAGCAGTCAGGAGATCAAAAGACAAACTGCATTGGGAAAATCTGCTGTCAGGAACCTTCCAGAGTGCTGAAAAGCAACAATGTCAGTCTAGAAACTAAAGGGTGCCTAATGTAGGCCATGGTCTTCACAATTACTTCTTATGCCTCAGAGAACTGGACAATGACTAAGGATGACAGAAAAAGAATCGGTGCCTTCGAGTTGTGGTGCTGGAGAAGTCCTGAATACACGATGGACTGCCAAGAAAACAAATAGGTCTATCTTGGAGAGGGTGAAACCAAGTCTCTCCTTGGAGGCTAGGATTTTGAAGCTCTGTCTCACATACTTTGGGCATGTAGCCAGGAGAGACCAGTCCTTGGAGAAGGACATCATGCTCAGAAAAGTGGAGGAACAGCACAGGAGAGGAAGACCCGGAGGAGATGGACAGTAACTGGGGCAATGGGGGTTGGTGTGTCAGAATGAATGAGACTGGCTCAGGATAGGCAAGGGGTCACTATGGGTCAGAGGCAACTCAATGGAATATAACAACAAAAACAGTAACAAAGTGAATGTGTTACATGTACCAATTAAGAGGAAAAAAAGTAGCAGAACGGATAAAAAACCCCAAAGTCCATCAAATTCGGTCTATAAAAGACACATCTAAAACATGAGAATAAAGATTAAAAACCAAAAGGTGGGGGAGAAAACCATACCAAGCAAATTACACTCAGAAAAAAAGCAGGAGTGGCAATACTTATCTCTGATAAAATAGATTCCGAATGAAAAGCACCTTAAAATATACGGAAGGACATTTTATAATGATTAAAGGTACAACAGATCAAGAAGACATAACCTTGGTCAACATCTCTACACCAAATGACAGACCTGTAAAATACATAAACCACTGGTCAACAGACTTGAACAAAGAAGACGCACCGCAATAGTGGTAGAAGACTTTAACACACCACACTGACCAAAGAACAGATGAACAGGGAAATAACTTAATGAAGATGAAGAAGATCTAAATTATACAGACAACTCAATCTTGTGGACATATTCAGGGTACTGCACTGAAATAAAAGTTAATTTACTTTCTTCTTACATGCACATGGTATATTCTCTAGAGCTGATTATATATTAGGACACAAAGCAAGCCTCAATAAATAAAAAACACTGAAATAATACGAAGTATCTTTTCAGACCTGTAAAAACTACAAGACTCAAATGAATACAGCTACATATGATCTTTACCAACTTCACAAAGGGGAACTGATCCTGTCAACAGCATCAACAACACAAATCCAATTCCTATGAGGCCAGATATGTCAACCACGTCTTTCTACTCATTTCAACACCAATCTTACTGTTTTGCATGGTCTGAAATCCAATGTGGTAGCTCACAAACCACAGTGAACCATACTGGCAAAGTTAAAGGGCTATTATTAAGGTTAGTAGCAAAATACAGTCAAGATAGCTTCCAAAATGTGTTCTCAGGCACGTAAGCCTTGAGCCTTATGGCTTTAGGCCTGAGTTAAAAAGTTCTCAGTCCTGCCAATACTGACTCTCCCCACCCCTTCCAAATTATCCAACAAACCTAGGCAAAGGCTCTTAGGTTACCTCTGGTTTTTTCCATGGAGGGCATCAGTCCCAAGGTAGGTCTATTTCATATTAGTTTTCTGGTTTGGCCATAGTTTCTACTGCTGGAGCTGGAGCAAGAATTTCTAGGCCCGAAAGACATGCTTCTTTCTCTTTCTTCTTCTTTTTTGTTGATGGGGAAAATGATTCTCTTCCTACTGCTGGATTGTTCACTTGAATGGCTAGACTAGCCAATCCCCTTGTAGAGTGGTGAGACTGACCTATCACATTGTGGATTGGTGAGACAGCCAATCCTCTTGTGGATAAACTAACACATCCTATTTGCATATTACTGCAATCCTCACGGTCAAGTTGGGCAATGGGTAGGAAATTCATATTGAAAGACAAACTCTTAACTCCACAAGACCACAATACCATTAAACTAGAAATTAACAACTAGAGGGTAAACTATAAAACTGTCCACTTGAAAGCTAAAATCCTGCTAGAACATAAGTGGGTTATATAAGAAATATAAAAGTTTCTCACAACAAATGATAATGAAAACACAACATTCCAAAATCTCTCAGATATAGTTCATAGTAATAAGAAAGCAAATAAAAGAAAGAAGTCAAATTAGTGACCTCCATCAAACAGAAAAAGAGTAACAATCTAACCCCACAGCCTCTAGAAGAAAGGAAATTATAAGGACAAAAGCTGAAACCAATGAGACAGAAAACAGAAAAACAAGTGAAATCATCAACAAAACCAGGAGTTGGTTCTTTGAAAGGGTCAATAAAATAGACAAACTATTGGCAAACTTAAAAAAGGAAAGGAAAAGAAGACACATACCAAAAAACGAAATAACAACAACAACAAAAAAGCCCCAACAACAAAACAATGAAAAGACACAAATAATTCCACTAAAAAATGATAGAGGTGACATAATAGCAGTTCCAAATAAAATTAAATCTATAATAAGAGAATATTATAATAAGTTATGACTCGATGGCACATAACAACAACAACAACACACTCTGATTTGGAAGCAGGAGTGGCATCCACTAAACAACATGCCTCTGGAAACTTTATGAACTTTGAGAAATGACAATAGTTATAGAAAGGCTTCAGGTCTTTTGCTCATAAGGTCACTATGAATTGTGTTTGACTCGACAGAAAACAACAACAACAACAACAAACTGATAAATTTGAAAACCTAATGACCATCAACAAATTCCTTGAAACTCATATGCGATCCAGACTGACATAGACAGATGTAAAATACTGGAAAAGATCCTTCAAAGAAGAAGAAATTGAGAAGACTCCCCAACAAAAAAAAAGTTCTTGACCAGATGGCTTCATGGTTGAATTCTACCAAACATTCAGAAAATATCCATCACCAATTTTACTGACATTATTTTTAAAAGTGGTAGAAGAAGGAAAAAAAAAAAAAGTGGTAGAAGGAAAACTCCCAGAGTCATTCCAAGAATTCTGAAGCACAACCATAATACCAAAACCACACAGATATTACAAAAATAAATAAATAAATAAATAAATAAAATAAAATAATACCAGTATCTATCATGAATATAGATGCAAAAATTCTTAATAAAATCTTGGTCAACAGAACCCAACAGTATATATAAAAAAGAAGTCATCATTACCAAGAGGGGTTTATAATAGGTATGTAAGTATGGTTTAACCTAACAAAAACAATCAATGTAATTCTTCACATTAACAAAGCACAGAACAAGAACCATGTGATCATGCAGAAAAGGCCTCCCACAAAATCCAGCAGTACTTTCTGGATAAAACAGTCAGCAAAATAGGAATAGAAGATAATTTCTTCAACAAAGAGAAAAGTATACACACAAAACCAAGAGCCAAAATCATTCTCAATGGAGAAATAAGAAGTAGCAACATTTAACAATAAATATTGGAGAGGATGTGAAGAGATTGAACATCTTGTATACTGTTGGTGGCATTGTAAAATGGTATAACCACTCTGGAAAGCAGTTTGGTGTTTCTTCAAAAAGTTGAACACAGAAACTCCATATAACCCAGTTACTCCACTACTAAAATATACCTCAAAGAAATTAGAACTGAGACAAAAATGGAGATTTGTAACCAATGTTCATAGCAGCATTATTCACAATAGCAAGAACAAGGAAACAGCCCAAATATCTGTCAACAATTGAATGGATTGAGAAATTGTGGTACATTAAAAAAATGGAATACTATGCGGCACTTAGGAGCAATGATTTAGGATAAAATATTATATGATATGGTAGAGGCTAGAGAGCATTATGTCTAGTGAACTAATTCAGTCTCATAAGGACAAATACTGCATAAAACCATTATTATAAAAATATAAGGATAATTAGTAAGATGTGTATAAAAGTCCAAAGGGGGTAATCAGACTGAGGAAGGGTCACAGAGTTTGGTGGGTGGAGGGAGAGGGTGAAGAAATTAGGAAAGATCCAGTGGGCACCTGAAAAGTCAGGGTAATGGTGGGCACAGATCAATGGTGATTAATTTTATAAAACACAAATATATATGAATGATCGCGTGAAACACAATGTGAATAAAAGAATGTGTTAAACACAATGTATAAGAATAAAACACAATGTATCATTTTCTTATAAAGACAGATTAAAGAACTCGCTTCTCCTAATGCTTGTTTTCAAATTATTGGTATAAATTTACTAGATAAATAATTCTCTGTTTTGCCCAACATGAAATAATCTGTGAAAGATTTCCAAGATAAAAGTCTTTCTTGTTCAATTTCCAGAAATAAATACTCTTTAGCTCTCTAGAGTATACATTAAAGAATAAAGTGGAAAAAAAAGAATAAAATACAATGTAAAGAAAAATTTAAATAAAAACATAATGTATATAAATTTTAAGTGCAAACCAATATAAATTTTTTTTTAAAGTTACTTTAAAAATCTGCATTTAAAAGACATAGCATTCCTAGAATATTACCTAATAAAAGGTACCCTTAAGTCATTCATGGAATGAAGGGCTGCATATGCTCCTTGCTCATCCCACCACTTGTGAGCCAGGGTCTGAAACATTTTTACTTCATTCTTGTCTACAGTGGTTTGTGAAGTACTGTACTGTCTTATTTCAGGGTACCTAAGGGGTCAAAATGAAAAGCCAGGTAAAGAATAGTATTCTTAAAAGCATAACAGTGAATAAATAATGCAGAAAGATACTCTCATTTTTATTAGAGTCTGAATATAGAAAGAAAATCACATTTTCTTTCAAATTGTTTATAACTATGTAGTTTCAGATATGCAACAAAATAAGTTTGCTTTTAAATCAAGTTATAATTAAAATAGAAATTTATAAAATTTAGCCTTATGAGTTCCATTTAATAATAAGAGTAGTAGTAGAACAGCAATGATATATGTCAGTCTGGAAATTAAGGTGAGTCTGATCCAGGCTATAGTCTTTGCAATTACTTGCTATGTGTCAGAAAGCTGGACTATGACTAGGAGAATTGATGTCTTTGCACTACGGTGCTGAAGAAGAGTACTGAATGCTAGGAGAACAAACAGGTTCAACCTACAGTGGGTGAAACCAGGCTGCTCCTTGGAGGCAAGGATTCTGAAGCTTCATCTGACATACTTCAGATATGTTGCAAGGAGGGACCAATCCTTGGAGAGGGACATCATGCTTGGGAGGGTGGAGGGACAGTGCAGGAGAGGAAGACCCTTTATGAGGTGGACTGACTCAGTGACTGTGGTAATGGGGGTTGGTATGTCAGGGACAATAAGATTGGCACAGGATAGAGCAGGGTTTAGACCCTGTTATACATAGAGTCACTATGAGTCCCAAGCGACGGCATGTTAACAATAACAGTAGTAGTAGTAGTATTAGCTGTTGTTTTTAGGAATCACTGAGTCAGCTCCAACTCAGAGTGAACTCATAGTATAACAAAAAGATACACTACTTGGTCTTGTGTCATTCTGACAATCTCTGTGGTGCTGTGCCAACTGTTGCAGCCACTGTCTTAAGCCATGTCTCTGAAAGCTTCCCCCTCCCCCCACCCCACTACTCTCCACTTTACCAAACATGAATTTTTCTTCAGGGACTGGGCCCTGCTGATAACATGCCCAAAGTATATAAAACTATTAAGCTAGGTATGGAGAAGTTATTTAGCCCTGACACATACCCTTCCTAATTTTAACCACACATTGTTCACGTGCTTTGTTTGGACAAAAGCTTCTTGATCTAAGTATAGATTTTGCATGAGAACAATTAAGTATTCTGGGATTCCTATTCTTCTCAATGTTAGTCATAGTCTGTCATGATCCACACAGTCAAATGCCTTTGCATAGTCAATTAAACACAAATAGATATTTGTATTCTCTGATTTCAGTCAGGATCCATCTGATATCAGCAATAATATTCTTGGTGCCACAGCCTCTTCTAAATCCTGCTTGAACTTCTAGCTTTTTAAAGATGATCTTCAGCAATATTTTGCTTTCATGTGATATTAATGATATTGTTCGATAACTTCCACATTCTGTTAGATCACTTTTCTTGGGAATGGGAACAAATGTGGATCTCTTCCAGTCAGTCAGCCAGGTCCTCCAAATTTCCTGGCACAGACTGGTGAGCATGGAGTTGAAACATGTCAATTGGTACCCCGTTGATTCCCAAGTCCTTATTTTTTTGCAAATGCCTTCAGTGTAGCTAGAACTTTTTCCTTCATTGCCATTGGTTCTTGTACATATGGTACTTTCTGAATTTTTTCAATGTCAATTCTTTTTGGTACAGTGACTCTGTGTATTCCTTCCATCTTCTTTTGTGGGAACATGAAAATAGGGTATGTACACTTTAATGAAGGGATTAGCCAATTTTACCATCACTCCAGGCTTTCAATACGGGTTGATCTCAAAATCAAGAAAACAAAAATCATTGCCACTGGACTGATAGGCAATATCAAAGGACTGAGACTGTCCACAACTTCATTTTATTTGGATCTACAGTCAATACACTAGGTACAAGCAGTCAGGCAATATGGAAATGTGTTGTACTGGGAAGGTCTGTAATCAGGGACTTCTCCAAATTACTGAGGAATGATGCCAGTTTGAGGACTAATGTGTGCCTCATTAGAGTTATGGTCTTTTCAGTCACTTGCTATGCATCTGAGAGCTGGAAAATGAATAAGGATGGCAGTAGGAGAATTGATGCCTTTGAACTGTGGTTTTAGAGTAGAGTGCTAAAGATCCCATGGAATTCCAAAAGAACAATCAGATATGTCTTAGGGAAGGTGCAGCTAGAGTGTTCCTTAGAGGCAAAGATGAAGCTTTGTCTCACATACGTTAGGCATGTTGCTAGGAGAGGCTATTCCTTGGAAAGGGACAACCACTTGGAAAAGCAGAGGTATGGTGAAGGAGAGGAAGATCTTCAACCAGGTGGGTTTACACAGTCACTGCAGTAATGAGCTTGAGTGTGTCAGAGATTGTGATGAAGGCACAGGATAGAAAAGTATTCAAATCAGTTGTTCACAGGGTTGTTAGCAGTCGTACTTAGCTTGACAGCGTCTAACAGTAACACAACAATAACCAGGCATAAATGGAGCAGTTTGGGGATAAAAAATGGGACTCTCTATACAAGCAAGAGAGAGGAAGCAGAGAATGCATCACATGCCTTTCAGGGCCATCGGTTTGAATACACCAATTGCTCTGCGGGAGAAAGATGAGCTCTCTCCCCTGTGATTCACAGCTTCTAAAAACCCAGTGGAGGATTAGCAATGAGTCAGAACACACACAAGAGGTCTTCGTAACACTGAGCTAAAGCACTCCGGTTAAAATTCAAAGGCTTGCAAGCATGACTGGGAAGCTGTCCTGGCTGACATACTGTAACCTATTGTTTGCAATAACAATATTAATATTAGCTTCCCTAATAAACCCCATAACCATAAATGTAAATGCTACGAAACCTTTTCAATGGGTTAGTGGATCCACTAGTAGAGCAATGAGACCCCTGGGAGGGACAACTGTTGTTAGGATCGGTAGAATAAGGTGTGGGAACATAGTGGGCATGTCTGGCCTCAAAGGAATCTGTACTATGTTGTGGATGTTGACTGTTACTCCTTATTTATGGAGTTTATGGAGATCAGCCTATAGCCTTGCAACTTCCACACTAGCCACACTTTTTTTATACACATAGCCTATAAACAGATTTATTTAGTTGCTTATATATGTCATATACAACAACAACAACAACATATATGTCTTCCCTCCCTAAACTCATCTTCAAACTGGTTTTTCCTGGCTCAGTTATGTGAAACTAAATAAACCAGGATGAGCTGGGATTTACAAAATGCAGGTGCCTGAAACAATAACTGAAACAGGGGAAATTATGGGTTAATATTCTGTAAGAAACTTAATTTCTCTCTTAGAAAACAGGGCAGCGTGCACACTCTATAGCAACCCAATCTCTTTCAAAGCAGAGTTGGAAATACTGTTTGTTTCCCTGCTCAAAGATGGAGGCTGACCGAACCACTTGACATATGTGAAATTCTCCACAGTTCAGGCAGTAATGCAGTCTCCCACCTCAGGTTCCAGAAAGGCCTCATTCCACCTCTTCCAAGTTTCCTATTCCTAGACTTCATCCAGTAATTTTTCCCATTTTGGTTATCATTCCAAACAATCATATTTTGCAAATCCAATCTATCTTGGCTTTGCTTTGTCAGCCATGACTGAACAAGTTCAAATGGGTTTGAAGTCCTGCTCTAAACATATATTCCATTACTCTCTTCATCTTCCAACATAAGACATTCAGGCCTTCCTTCAGTTCTTTGAACTGGTCAGGCTGGCTCCTTCCTTAGGCCTTGCAAATTGTGTTCCTTCTGCCTAAAACATTCTTTCCATTTTTTCCTCTTGCCTTCCACATACATCTAATAAATCTCATTCAGCAAATTTCATCTTAAATAGAATATTAGCCTTCTAAGACGTGTCCTCTAGTGCACAAAATGGGACCATGTTTTCCCCTTTGTACTTCTTCACAGAGCTATATGATTACTTGATCACATCTGCCCCTTCCTAGACTAAGTAGGAGGAGTGCAAGCAGGGATTGGCTAACTCACCATTTTATTCCTTGTGCCTATCACAGTTCTTGGAACGTAGCTGGAACTCAGGAAAACATTTGTCAAATAAATCATGAGTGGAAAGGTTCAGAAAAGTATAAACTTCCCCACACTCCAAAAAAATTTTTAATTAAATGAGACCAAACAATAAACCAAAAACGATAGATCCTACACCAAGTTTCATGGCAGAGTATGTTATGGTAAATCCTCCAGAGGACTATTTGGGTAAGAAAACAGGTTGTTAAGTTAGAAAACATCATTATGTTTTACTGTCTTTTTTAATATGGAGAGTAATTCTATATTGGTTACCTTTTTATCCCTTTAGGATTAAAATGTTACTTTTTAAATTGTGGTAAACACGAATGTTACAAAATATTTATCAATAATTCTTCTTTAATATTATGACACTTATCATTTTTTTTATCCTTATTGCAAAGCCTCATGATTAATTTACAAGTGGCTATTCAGTTGACTAAGAATGACTTCACATGTCTAGTCTCAAAGGAGACTGTTAATGAAGAAGCATGCACTCAAAAAAAAAGCTCAACACTATATAATATTTTTCAAAAAAATTACAAACTGATTTATAAAATATGAATGCAAGATATTAATTAGTTCTGCATGACTACCTAAAATATAAACTTATTCCTCTTAACACACTTCTGTCATACACAATAGGCATTTCATTATTTGTGTCCTGCCATAATGATAGTCAACAACCACCACCAAGTCACTGATGCTGAATAAGAACTGATTCATAGCTGATCCTCTCTAACAGGTTCTCAGAGGCTGTAAATCACATAGAATGAAACTGCCATCTTTCTCCTGAAGGAGCAGCTGGTGCATCTGAATCACTTTCCTTTCAGTTAGGAGCCACGAGGCCATCACAGCTATGAAAAAAAGTAAAAAGTCTTTTTCTTAGTAATATAATCTTACATTACAAAGAAAAGCCATCACTGAATTTCTATGCACTGGATATTGTTGTTATTGTTTACTGCTGTCAAGTCGAGCATGACTCATAGCAACCCTATGAACAAAAGGCCTGAAGCCTTTCTATAATTATTGTCATTTCTCTAAGTTCATAAAGTTTTCAGAGGCATGTGGTTTAGGAAGTGGATGCTACTTCTGCTTCCAAACCTGCCTTAAACTGGGAGGTCCACCACATACTGTCCACCATAGGTAGCCAATATAGCATTTGACCTCCAAAGGCACAAGGTTCAGCATCACAGCAAACCCAGATTACCTCAGTGCAGAAAATTGACAGAGGAATGCTGTACAACCTAGAAGAACATTCCTCCAAAATAAAATAACAATAGACCCTTGATCCCAACAGACTTTTAAATGTTTATAAGACTTTATAAATATACACAAAAGGACTGAAGCCTTTCTATTACTATCATCGTTACTCCAAGTTCATAGAGTTTCCAGAGGCATGTGGTTTAGGAAGTGGATGCCACTCCTCCTTCCAAACTTGAATCAATCTTTAATTAATCTGGAAATATAGATAATATTATTCTACCAACTTTTGTGAGCTTGAAAATTTTTCAAATTTAAAAATTATTGAGAAAATAAGATGGTTAAAAATAGTTAAATAAGTAAAAGTAGCCTTAAGCAAAGCACATGTGCTAACATGTACTGACAGGGTTTGTTTAACACAATCACTACTAAACTACCCTTGCATAGAGTACTTTATATGTTTGGCACAGTAATAAACATACTTACATGTATCTTTTAATTTTATTCAAATAGGCAAAGGTCATCACATGGGATTTGAATGCCTGCTTTGGATAGTCATGGGAAACCCATTGTTTAATTTGTTGAGTCCAGCTGAGCTCATTCTCTGAATAACCTAGAAAAAAAAATGACATGTACATGTAAGTATATGAATCTAACAGAATTAATTCTTACTTGACAGTTCTATGTTACACTATAATTGAAAAAGTGTTTTTCTTCTTAATTATGAATTTTACTCTAAAAAAATTAAAAAAGGACAGAGGAGAACTGATGCCTTTGAGCTATGGTGCTAGGGAAGATTATTGAATATACTATGGACTGATAGTAGAACAAACAGGTTCATCCTAGAGGGGGTGAAACCAGGCTGCTTCTCGGAGGCAAGGATTCTGAAACTTCGTCTGACATACTTTGGACATGTTTCAAGGAAGGACCAGTCCTTGGAGAGGGATGTCAAGCTTGGGAGCATGGAGAAACAGCACAAGAAAGGAAGACCTTTGATAAGATGGATTGATTCAGTGACTGGGGTAACGGGGATAGGTGTGTCAGAGACAATTAGATTGGCAAGGAATAGAGCAGGGTATCAGTCTACTGTACACAGGGCTGGAATGAATTGCAAGCAACTCGATGGCACATAGTAACAACAACACATATTCTATCAGCTCATTCTAACAAGACATTTCTGAAACTACAAATTTTAAAAAGCACTGTAGGAGTAAAGTTTGACATTAGTATCTGCAACACAACATGTTGTATAAAATTATTTTTTAAAAAAATATTCAAATAAAAAGTATATTACCTCTTAAAGTAGAACAATATTAATTCTGATATTTGTGAAAAACAATACAAATTCTGTCAATTCCAATTTACAGACTTCACATCAATTATATGAAATGGATTTATACAATTATATGAAATGGATTTATACATATGCCCAGTATCCTTTAATTGACAGGGGAATAAAAACATACAAAACACATACAGAAACACACACATACTTAAATATCTCTTGGAATCCCAACTCATACCCTCATTCTGTTTCTGAATTAACATAGATACTTACTTTATGAACAAGTTACTCTGCTGCAGAATATTCGTTTGTTTAACATTTAGACAAAGTAAGATTCAGAACAAAGAAAATTATCAAGGACAAAGAAGGACACTGTATCAAGAGTACAAGGATATTTCATTAACAAGACAAAACAATACAAAAATGTATACACCAAATAATACAGTATCAAGAACAACAAAGCAAAAATTGACAAAAATTGAAAGAAGAATTAGATGATCTGTAATTATAACTGGGTACTTCAAAAATGTTCTCTAGTAATTGTTAGAATCACTAGGCAGAAAACAAGAAAAGATACACAGGAACTAAATGACATTATCAAGCAGTAAAACTGAAATTTGTAACACATTCCAACCAACAAACAACTGAATGTACCTTCTTTTAAGTGTGCATAGGACATTTATAAAGATAGAATTTTGTCAATTCATAAGGATAGAATATTATTTATTTTATGTCCTTAGCCCAGGATATAAATGTTCACAACCATAAAAGAAGTGAAACATAAAATATAAGATATGTCCTCTGACAATAATGCCAAATAGAAATAGGAGATACCAGGTGGAGCTTCAAATACTTCTAAACAATTAATCAATTAATGAAAAAGTCTCATACACTTTTTAAAACGAAATAATATGTAAAGTGATAATATGTAACACTCTCTGGGCTGCAGCTAAAGCAATATTTCAAGGGAAATTTACAATACTAGATTAGAATAATTTCAAATCAGTAATTTAAGTTTCAACCTCAAGAAATTAAAAAGAAAAACAACTATGAGACATCATCTCACCTCAGTCAGAATAGCAAAATTTAACACAACAGCAAGCAACAAATGCTGGCAAGGTTGTGGAGAAATTGGAACCCTTATTCACTGTTGGTGGGAGTATAAAATGGTGCAACCACTGTGGAAGGAGGTACGGCACTTTCTCAAAAAGTTGCAAATAGAGATACCATTCGACCCAGCAATTCCACTATTGGGAATATGCCCCAAAGAGGCCATAAATGACATTCAAGCAGATATATGCACACCCATGTTTATCACGGCTTTGTCCACAATAGCAAGGAGGTGGAAACAACCTAAGTGCCCATCAACAAACGAATGGATAGAGAAGCTGTGATATACTCACACAATGGTATATTATACTGCACTGAAAAACAAGGAACTCATGCAATATAATTTAAAATGGGTGACCCTGGAGAACATTATGCTGAGTGAAGTATCTCAGTCACAA